TTCCTGCAGGCCCCCAGACACCCCAGTGCTGCTCCTTGTGGTCAAGCTGACCTTCATTTTCTTTCCTCTGCCTGCTTTCTGTCTATCCAACTCCAGCCTCTTCCTCCAGGTAGCCTTCCCAGATTCCTCCCATTAGACCAGGCCCTCCTCTGGATGTTGTGAGTCTTTCACACTAGCCTTCACACCATTCTGCACTGCACTGATTGGTTTACTACAAACTCTCCCTCATCAAGTTTGAGTTTGTTTCAGGACGAGATTGTTATCTTCTCTCCTTGTACCCATGACAATAGTTAACTGAAAAAAATCTGTTTCCTTTAGCTCTGTGATGTATCTATTCTTGTATTCTTGTATTTCTTAAAGAAGTACCTATCCAATTTCCTTTTAACCTTACAAGCCTTTAAAGCCTTGGCCCTGGTGATGTTCTTGCACACCTGTTTCTCCTGCCCATTATCAGTTAGAAAGTAGATTGCTTTGTTTTCTTTCCTTTTATCTAGAACACTGAGACTACCACATGGGACCCTCTCCCAGGGCGTGGAGCCTAGGCAGGACAATTGAGTTCAGAAACCCCAGTGGTGGTGGGTTTGTAACACCTGGGAGTTCAAATACAGCCCCGTTGTAAGAGACTTCTATATTGTGTTCTAATACTCTGCAGTAGGCTTTGGAGTGAGGGGCTTACCGTGAATGAATTGAGTTTGCTTGCCAGAGCTTGGTTCTTTGGTACAAGCTGCTTGTGTTTCTGGTTTCTTAATTTCTCCCTAATTAAGTGAATAGGGGCTTGATACTCACCCTACTACTGCCGGGGAAGATTTAGTCTTCTAGAGCAGTGGTCCTCAACCTTCCTATTGCTTCAACACTTTAATACAGTTCAGTTCCTCATGTTGTGGTGGCCCCCAACCATAAAATTATTTCATTGCTGCTTTAGAACTGTCATTTTGCTACAGTTATGAATTGTAATATCTGATTTGCAGGATATGTGATGTTCGATCCCAAGGGGGTCGTGACCCACAGGTTATAAATCACTTCTTTAAAGCCTAACTTTCCTGGGCTACCAGGTGAGGATAAACAGGATTAATTGTTCAGCCTACAGGACACTTGTGAGTACATGGAGGGATCCCTCCATAAGCCACACAACGCTGGCTGTGTAGTGTAGGCTGGCACTCTGGGCTCTGGTGTGCCAGGAGTCACTCTGGGCTGGAGGTATAGAAACTTGATTCTACCACAGTCTACCCTTAACTCAGGAGAGTCTCTGCAGTTTCTTCCACAGCATAGGAAAGGTTCCATCTGACTTCCAGGCTCTCCTGGAGTTTACTGAACCTGAATATGCTTGGCGATCCCACCTAGTATTCCCTGATGCTTCCCTGTTGTTATCTGGTTTCATGTTTCTGCTTAAAACCCCACAGTGGCCTAGGGATGGTATTCTAGGGATTGTCTGGAGTTCTCCTGGCTTTAGACTGAAAGCTCGTGTCCTGAGAAAGCCCTCAGTCGGTCAGTAACATTCCGAAGTCCAGCAGAGCAATGGATCTGGTTCCAACTGTGACCTCACCACTCTTCACCCAATGCCTTTCTCTGTGTTTTGTGGCTACCTGGGGAGGTGTTTTGCTTTGTTTGTTTGTTGTTTGTTTAGCAAAATGCTGGTGCCCTGGCCTTGCCTCTCAAGATTCTGAAGGAGAGCCTTGGGTGTCTTTTTAAAGCTAGCCAATGCTCCAAAACTTGGAGGAGGCTGGGGACCGCTGCTCTATTCCTGCAGGTCCCCAGACACCCCAGTGCTGCTCCTTGTGGTCAAGCTGACCTTCATTTTCTTTCCTCTGCCTGCTTTCTGTCTATCCAACTCCAGCCTCTTCCTCCAGGTAGCCTTCCCAGATTCCTCCCAGTAGACCAGGCCCTCCTCTGGATGTCCTGAGTCTTTCAGGCTAGCCTTCCCACCATTCTGCACTGCACTGATTGGTTTACTACAAACTCTCCCTCATCAGGTTTGAGTTTGTTTCAGGACGAGATTGTTATCTTCTCTCCTTGTACCCATGGAGCCAAGCAGGCTCTGGCATGTCGCAGACACTCTGTAAATATTCGTCGAACAAATTAATCAAGACAAGGCCATCTGACCTCTTGTTTGGGATAATTCCACTTTCTCAACATAAAGTTGTAAAGTTGAAGATGATTTCTCTGATGGAATCATTGGCCGTCTGTTTCTCTGCTTCTTCCTAGTTTGTCCCTCAGCTGGCTAGCCTATGTGTGTTTAGAGAGAGCCAGGAAGGTCCAACGCCAGGAATGTTTCTCTCTTTAAAACTCTTTTATCCTCAGCTTTCTGATCTTCAAAGCATCCTGTGTCCACTGTGACCTGACTCCCTCGACTCTCCATGCTGGGGAGTGAGAGCCTTGGGTATTTGTGTCATTTTGAGAACTTGCATATTTGGGACCGCCTTGGACAGCTGGGCAGCATGGTCTCTGTTAACTCTTCGGGGATAAGTGCCTGTCATCGGTTCTAGGACCTTTGCACCCCTGAACCTAGGCACATGAAGAAATTAGTGCCAGACTCTGGAGTTAAACAAATATTAGGTACATAGACAGGTCTTTTGTGGGGGAACTATCTCTTGGCCACTAGAGATTCCTCTGCCTCCCTGTTGTAATTAAGTCTCAAACTCTCTCCACCTGTGTGGTTATCTGCAGTGTCTGGTCCTGGATAAGTTTGAAAGCTATGGTGATGAAGTTCAGCTCATCCAACGAGCCCTGTCTCTCCTGGAAGAGAACAGGTTCTGGGCTGGAGTGGTGTTCCCTGACATGTATCCCTGGACCAGCTCCCTGCCTCCCCACGTGAAGTACAAGATTCGGATGGACATAGATGTGGTGGAGAAGACCAATAAGATCAAAGACAGGTGATGGTTCAGTCAGGGTTAGCAGGGTATCCCGAGATCCACGGTGAATTACATGTGGCAGAGAGTGGAGGATTGGGGGTGAATGCAGTCCATAGATCAGTGAAGGAGGTAAGCTAAATGGGAGGAAGTATGATTGGAGCAGATCCAAGTAGGTGGAACAATCACTTCGTGATTCAGAGTCATTGCTGGAGTTAATACTGTGTAAACGCCACGTGGTTAACGAATCTCTTGGTTCATGTTCCATTGAGCACCTGGAAATTTAAGCAAATGAACAGCACAAAGTAGAACTGGATAGTCAGGGAACATATAGGACAGTGGTTCTCAGCATGTGGGGTGCGATGCCTTTGGTGGTTGAGCAACCCTTTCACACGGGGTCACGGATTAGATATCCACCTTGTGGTCAAGCTGACCTTCATTTTCTTTCCTCTGCCTGCTTTCTGTCTATCCAACTCCAGCCTCTTCCTCCAGGTAGCCTTCCCAGATTCCTCCCAGTAGACCAGGCCCTCCTCTGGATGTCCTGAGTCTTTCAGGCTAGCCTTCCCACCATTCTGCACTGCACTGATTGGTTTACTACAAACTCTCCCTCATCAGGTTTGAGTTTGTTTCAGGACGAGATTGTTATCTTCTCTCCTTGTACCCATGGAGCCAAGCAGGCTCTGGCATGTCGCAGACACTCTGTAAATGCATACCAGATATTTACATTATAATTCATAACAAAATGGCAAAATTATAGTTAGGAAGTAGCCACAAAATAATTTTATGGTTGGGGTCATTACAACACGAGGAGCTAGCAGCATACCAGATATTTACATTATAATTCATAACAGTGGCAAAATTATAGATAGGAAGGAGCCACAAAATAATTTTATGGTTGGGGTCATTACAACACGAGGAGCTAGCTGTATTAAAGGGTTACAGCATTAGGTAGGTTGAGAACCACTGATTTAGAAAACTGTTTCAAGAGACTGAGGTAAGTTGGGCTTGTAAATCGAGTGGGTTGCCCATCCCCACTTACACCCTTCCTCCCTTCATCCTGTGCCTTTTTAGGTACTGGGATTCTGGTCCTAGGGCAGACCCCGTCGAAGACCTCCGGTATATCTGGGGAGGCTTTGCCTATCTACAGGACATGGTTGAGCAAGGAATCATAAGGAGCCAGACCCAGGCAGAGGTTCCCATTGGCGTCTATCTCCAGCAGATGCCTTATCCCTGCTTCGTGGATGACTCGTGAGTCCCAGGCCTCTGTCTTCCTCCCTGAGTTAACGTAAACAGGGGTGCTCCAAGGCTCCAGTGTCTCCTGAAGGAACCTTGGGGACTGGGACCACACTGGGGATAACAGGCTTCTAATGGCAGAAGCTGCTGGCCCGATGCTCCAGACAGAAGCAGAGGAGAAAGTAGGATGTAGGGTGTTGTGGTACAAAAGGGACATCGGAGGATAAAACAGTAGGGTTGAGGTTGAAGGAGGGGATGCCGGCTGTTTAAATTTCCACATCGTAGTATGTTTGGTATGTGGAAGGGCTCTGGTCACAGCATTTGCCCACTGATTGCCAGATCAGCAGATTTGGACTGCATGGCAAGTAGGTCTGGTTCCTAGGAGCCTCAGAAAATGCAGTGCCTTCCCTAATTAACATTCCTATGATGTGTGTTGGTGAAAAGGTAGAGGAATGTGTTGGATGAGCTCTGTCTCCTTCTCTGGCCTCCCCCATCCTAAAGCTAGTAGCTAGTGGCTAGTAGCATGCTAAGCAAGCAGCCAACTGTTTTGTTGAAAATAGATTTTTGCAGTGGTGAAGGAAGAGACGGAGAAGAGGTGCCCAGAAGCTTATCACCATGGTAGATGGGGTCAGAAACACTCACTGAGCCATAGATGGCTTAGGAATTTAGCTCCTGGGGTGTTGGGAACACTGGGGCAGTCACCATAGCCGGTGTGTGTGGCTATGGAGTTCAGGGAGCAGAAATAGGAAAGCGGCTCTCAGCACTGGCCCCATCGGTTCTCCAGCTCTGCGGAAGACAGCAGAGATTAGAAGGAGAGCCAAGGGCAAAAGCCCAGGTCCACTCTTGGGTCAGAAGGGGAGGGGCTGGCAGGGAAATGGTAGGTGTGGAGAGGCAGTGGGGATTGGGGTCATTCAGTAGGAGAGAGTCCTCTGGCGGCCAACCCCAGAAGTGCATGCTGTGGGGTTGTTTGGCTCTCTCCCTAGGGCCATTTTCAGTGAAACTATCCTCCCACGCTGGCATTGGGCCCTTCCTGTGACAACACCCAACAGTTTCAATAGATAATAATCCCAAGGGCTTTACTAGTGCATCATTCCCAGGGAAAACCTGTAAAGCTTACCCTAACTTGATTCCATCGTGTCAAATCCATCTTGCTTCCTGGGAACAAATCTCAAGATGGATCTCCTCCACTCTGCATGGCTGATGGAAGTAGTGACTATTGAATCACTGATTTGTTCCAATCACAACCCGTGGTAACCGGTCTACAGTCTTTCCCACAAAGGTCTTTCGCACAGAGTAGAGACCTTACAGGGGAGGTCTATACTGTATGACAGATATGGTATGTTTTATTTGTTTGTTTGTTTTTGTCTTTTGTTTTTCGAGACAGGGTTTCTTTGGGGCTTTGGAGCCTGTCCTGGAACTAGCTCTTATAGACCAGGCTGGTCTTGAACTCACTGAGATCCACCTGCCTCTGCCTCCAGAGTGCTGGGAATAAAGGCGAGCATCCACCACCGCCCGGCTGAGATGGTATGGTTTTATTCCTCCACTTTACTTATAGACATCTGTGCTGTCTGGAAAGACACCATCTTGCTATAAAGAAAAAGTGGCAAAAGTGAAAGGTATTTTGAAAAGCTCAACCTAGTGAAGATCCCATGATTTATTTTTCTGCTTTGCTTTCCTTTCCTTTGGACTTCACTCTCAACTCTTCATTCCATAAATATTTACTTCATCTCTGCCAGGCACAGATGCTCTGTTCTGCTTCCCCCTTCTCACCTTAGTTTTATGATCGTCCTGAACCGCTGCTTTCCTATCTTCATGGTGCTGGCGTGGATCTACTCCGTCTCCATGACCGTTAAGGGCATTGTCTTGGAGAAGGAACTGAGGCTGAAGGAGACTTTGAAGAACCAGGGTGTCTCTAATGCTGTGATTTGGTGTACCTGGTTCCTGGACAGCTTCTCCATCATGTCAATGAGTATCTTCCTCCTGACGCTGTTCATCATGGTAAGCCAGGTGGAGAAGACCACTCTTCCTGTTAATGCATGTGTGCCTGGACTACTTATCTGAGCGTGAAAGGTAGCAAGACAGGTAGCTTCCCAGCTTTTCAAACCAGGTAGGACACTTGGAGAGCCAGGCCCCTCCCCACCTCCTCAAAGAGCCATTGTATGGAGTCATCTTCCTCTTCTAGCCTAAGGGAGTCATTCACTTCCTACATAGATTTTCCAGACCATTTTATGACCATGTAGAGAGGCTACTGTTACCAAAGCCCAGTATGGAAATGTTGTATGTTCAATGGCTGTCTCTTCTTTCAAAGACAGACATGAGTCTCTTTTAAAGAGTGGTTCCTGGAATTACCATTCCAATATCTGGCCTACAGCTGGAATGAGGCGAACACTGCCAGTGGTATGAAGGGAAGAGATCTGGACAATTTGTCAGTCATCCCCATGGCCAGGAATTAGATTCACTAAGTAACATTCTTCTGCCTGCTAAGATCTTCAAGGACTCTGTTTTAAAGGATGGAATTTGGAAACTGACCTTTCTCAGTGATAAGGAGTTTTTATTGCCAAAGATGATGTCATTCTGTCTTCTGCAAGTCTATGACTCCTCTGTAAGCTAGAATTGAAAACAAAACACTGTTTCACAAAATACTGCTAGCCTATGTATTTTCAGCCCCTTCATAGAAGTTTTTTGGACTTGTTGAAATATGACTATACACATTTGATAATTTTTGATGTTTTGTTGGAGGGAAGTTGGTTTCTAATATGGATTCAGCAAGCTTGTTCAACTTCATCCCTGTCATCATATCGAGTGCCGCTCTGCATGAAGCAATATGTGCAGTACGTCAGATTAGATGAGTGTCTTCCATCCCATGTTGGATCACGGCCACCTGATCTAAAAATGTCCCATCATATAACCAACCAACCAGCACATATCCATTTAATCCAAATCCTACCTTTATTTTCTACTAAAATGTCCTCAACCTAGTGCATTCTATCTTTGCTATTACATTATGACCCAGTGAGCTATGGTGTGAATCAAACCCCATGTTACAGTCCCCTCAAAACCAAAGCTGAGGTGGAGATAATTCTGTTCAAACAACTTCATCCCACCCAGCATGGCTTGATGTTTACAAAGGATGCCAAAACTCTGAAGAAGAGACAGCAGCAGCCACTCCCTCCTTATCCACCAGAGGCCCTCTGCTCTACCCACACCTCAGCCTGCCCCTTTCCCCAGATGTTTTGTGTCCTTATAATGAAAAGACACAGTGAGTAAACATCTGGATGAATGGCTGAGGCTTGCCCCGGCTTTCTCACTGATAAGTGACACTGAGATCTGCCTTCCTAAGAATGGGTTTTCAGGACTTCAAAGGTTTTAGGACGTGAGGTAAAGAATGTTGACCAAGAGCTTCTAGCACGGGGACACTTCCTGTGGGAACCAGAACACTGTTCCAAAAATGACGGAAACTGAGCTTTCTACACCAAAATAAGGTTTTCCTTTGAATGACTCCCCCTTTTTTTGAGTAGCCCTTCCTCCCCAGCACCGCTGTGCAGGAAAGAAGCTGGGGGCAGGGACAATGGGAAGGTTCTATTGTTATTCAGTCTACAGAGCAGAAAGGAAAGTGGTCAGTGGAGGCAGCTGTCCGGGAAATGGTGAGGCTGGCTGGATGACGGGCACCCCTGTTTGAAAACCAGCAGAAAGCCCACAGTCTAGATGTTTGCAGGACTCTGCTCTGGGCTCATATAAGAAGTTGAATTCGTTCTATGGAGAACAGTAACTCTCTAATTTTGCCCTTTATTTAGATTTCCTCAGACTTAGGTTGGCCTAAGTGTGGCTGCTGTCTATCCTTTCCTTTTGCATATTCCCCCCTCGTCTATTTTTCAATGTTTTCCTTCAATGCCCAACAGGCACGAGAGCATGGAGGAGAAATGGTGGCTGTAGCAGATAAGAAGCACATTAGTTCCACTTGGTTCTTGCGGGCTGAAGACAGATGTCATTAATTGGTCTCTCTTTCCTACTGAGAGGAAAGCAGTGATTCGGGGAGGCCCTGTCTGTTATCAGAGCCCATTCATGATGAGGCAGTTCCAAAAGGTGGGAGGACACAGAGAAAAACACAGGAAGGAAAGCACAAGGTCTCGGGAGTGCTGTGCTTGGTGACATGGCTGGGATCCCCACTACACAACAGCTCAACTATGTCCCATTAAATATATGGAGGTGGCCAAGTGAAGCCTGAGACATACCCCCAGAATTCTACTATTTGTGCCTTTGTGTTACTGAGAAAAGAATGAGGAATGGGGTGACCTATATGTATTTGGGAATTCAGAATTTGGATGGAGCAAAGATGCTGGCCTCTTTACAGGGCTTGTAATAATAGAGATGAGGATGTTCTAATTCAGTTGAACATCTTGGTCCACCCTACAGTGTAATTGGGCAGCAGCTTGTTCAGAAGTCACTAGTTTGTTCCTATTTTCTATATAGACGATGGGAAAGATACTTTGTCTTGTGCATAGCGTAGGTTCTATGAAAAGCACAGCATTCATGGATGAGGAGGACCAATCCTCTTCCAAAGGCTCTGGGTCCATCACTGATGCTTCCAGCTGTGTGAGTGGCAAACCGCAGGAAGCAATGCTGACGGTCAGTCAGCAGGCTGAGCCCCAGGCAAAGGGTCAGGCTTCTTTGTGGTTGCAGGATGCTGGTGATACTGTAAGACCTAACACACAGACCTTCTCCCTTGCCTGAACACATGAACTGAACTTGCCAAGTTGACCCATAATTACTGTGCAAAGATAAACTTAGGCACATTAAGATTCTTTTGTGGTTTTTAATATTTTTATTTTTTGAAAGTTTCATACATTTCTATAACATATATTGATAATATCCATCTACTACTATCTGACTCCAACCCTCCTTAGTGCCCCCCCATTCCATGTCCCTCCCAGCTTCATGTCCTCTTTTTTATTTATTTCTTTATTTGGTTTCTTGAGGCAGGGTTTCTCTGTATTGCTTTGGAGCCTGTCCTGGAACTCAATCTGTAGACCAGGCTGGCCTTGAACTCGAAGAGATGTGCCTACCTCTGCCTCTGGAGTGCTGGAATTAAAGGCATGTGCCACCACTGCCCGGCTTTGTCCTCTTTTTCATTTTTACTTTTGTGTGATACCCTTCTGAGTCCACTTACTGAAACCTGTATATGCATGTGGGTGTGCGAACATCCACCGGGACACGAACAACCCACCAGCAGCCGGATCCCCAAAGGACAGTGACTGGCCTTGCTATCCCTCACCGGCCAATAGCTCTTCTGATGGGTGGGCCCTCTGGGTCCCTTCCCCATCCATGCTGGAGTCTTGACCTTGTGTAGGTAACCACAGCTGCTGTAGTTAATGTGTGCTACAGCTACGTCATGTCCAGAAGACATTTCACAGTTCTGTCTGTCTGCCAGCTCTTCCATTCCTCACATCCCCTCAGCCATGAAGTTCCATGAGGCTCGGACGGTGGGAGGTTGATAGATGACCCGCTCATTGCTGAGCACTCAAGAGTTATTTATACTTGGCACTTTGACCAGTTATGAGTCTCTGCCTTAACCGCTACCCACAGCAAAGGAAGCTTCTCAGACCAAAGGAGGGCAACACCAACCTATGGGTACAAATATAAGTATTTCAAACAGTTTGACAAAAAAGATCTCTTATGAAAATGATAGTAGGCTCTTACTTACACTAGGGCCTATTATCACCCCATCATGGGCTTTTGACCAGCTTTCTGGTACCAAGTATCAGTGGTTCATGAAGCAGGCAACTCTAGACCACAGATGGCTCGGCACTCCACTAGAGAAGTGGGGAAGCACAACAAAGAAAACCTTGGTTGGTTAAAGTCCCCATTTAGAGGTTAGTTGGCAGTTGCTGACTGGGTTAAATTACTCGGCAGTTGGGTTTTAGTTTACTAGGAGGCCAGAACACTGGAGTTAGCTCAGCCTAATGGTTTCCCAGTTAAATTTTTAAAAATAAAGCATGAGTGTTGCCTAATGGTCATGGGTAAGACAAAAGAACTCATTGCATTCCAGTGTTCATGTGGAAGTGGCAACTGGCTGCAGGAGCCCCTCCTAGGACAGCAAAAGGCTTCAGAAGGCACCAGTGCACACAGGAAGTCCCTGAGTGGGACCCTGCCTCTGGGCACCAGAGAGAGTTATTGATACGTAATCTCTTTGGTTTCAGCACGGGAGAATTCTGCACTACAGCGATCCCTTCATCCTCTTCCTGTTTCTGCTGGCCTTCTCCACAGCGACCATCATGCAGTGCTTCCTGCTTAGCACTTTCTTCTCCAAGGCCAGCCTTGCAGCAGCCTGCAGTGGGGTCATCTACTTCACCCTCTACCTACCACACATTCTGTGCTTTGCCTGGCAGGACCGGATGACGGCTGACCTGAAGATGATTGTGGTGAGGCCCTGAGGCTTACCCCTAGCCAGTGACAGAGATTTCCTCTGATGATTTTGTGGCCCCTTGGCCTGCTCTCTAAGAAGGGCCACTTTGCCTTTTGACTCAAGAGGATTTAAGATTGAAGGGCTAATCCAAAGCTCAAAGGTTCAGGAGTCAGAGTGGAGCAGCCTTCCCCCTAGCAATGCAGCAGTTACCCTCCCTAGACCTGCTTGACCCATATGCCCTAGGAAACCACTGGAGAGCCTAGTCAGCTCCTTTGTTTCTGCACGAAAGGAACACGAGCTGATCCCTTCCTTCACCTTTCTTTTCTTCCTGCTTGAGGAGAATCAGATGAGAGGAAGCTTGTCCCCATACTGTCTGTCTTCTCAGAAAGAAAGTGGCATCGGTTAAAATGGGGCTCGCTTTCCCAAAAGAAATCAGATGAGAGGAAGCTTGTCCCCATACTGTCTGTCTGCTCAGAAAGAAAGTGGCATCGGTTAAAATGGGGCTCGCTTTCCCAAAAGAAAGTGGATCAGAGAATCTCTGTCTTTCCAGTGCTCTAACCATTCATGCAGAAAAGGATGCAAAAATGAGACCCCACCATTAGGCTCTCTGGCCAAGAGAAGACTCTAGAAGCTGGCTTTTGATGGCTTGAGAGACCTCTTAGTTCAGGATTCCCAAATAAATATAGGTCTTTTTTTCTAATTGTTTTCAAGTAGGCCATTTCTACCCTCTCATTAGCCGGCACTAATCAGCCTCAGCCCTAAAGGGCTCAGTTTTCTGGCCCTCCAGAATCTCCCAGTCTCTGTGTTACATCAGTAGGACTCCTGCCTGCCTCTCTGCCAGTAGAACCTGTTCTCAGGACTCCAACTCCAGTGCATCTGCCTTTTATTATTTCTCATGTTAAATAAGAACTTAATTGCCACTATTTATAGCATTTAGTTTTCTAAGACAGTCACAATGGGTAATAGTAAGAAACTCTTGTGACTCAGACTGTGGGCAGAGCTGGGCAATTTTGGTAATCGTCGGGTTGTTACATGGTACTGGGAAGCCACAGTTAGCTTCTTGGACCTACCAGGAAGCTTCAGGTCTGGCAACTACAGATAAAAGCTGGGTTGAAGTAATTTGAAGTGTGTGTGTGTGTGTGTGTGTGTGTGTGTGTGTGTGTGTGTGTGTGTACATATAGCAAGAGGGTTTCTTGCTTTGGTGAGAGATAGTCTGAACTCTATCCAGGGTCCTCCAAATTACAGGGAACCTCTGGCAAAGGCAAGTAAGTGTGCTCTGACATGTCAGGGACCACCCATGATGACTTGGCAGGGCACTTTCTCTTCAGATTTTTCTGCTGCACTCTTTCTGGCCAGTGGACTAGTTTCTGCACAGCGAACCTAAGATGCAACCTATTGTCCTTGCTGGCCACAGGAAGATGGTGTCTTTGAGCCCCCTTCTTGTGGCAGTCTCACAAAGTAGCTCAATTTGGCGTCTTCATTCTGACCAGAACCATGTGGTCTTCTGAGAATGGAAGGCAGAAGGGAAGATGGGGGGGGGGGGTTGGAGGCAGGAGGACCTCCATTCCTTTGGAGTCTTCTGCTATGCGCCACTTGTTTACTGGCCCGTTACGGTCCAGCTATGCTCTATGCAACAGGATGGCTCACTAGGCATTAGGCGGGAGTTTTCGAGGCCTGCCAAGCATTTCTAAAATTCTCTTTCCATGAGAAGACCACGGCAAGCCCTCCCTGAGTCGCCTTGCACTCAGACACAACACAGACCCTCTTTGGCCATTGTCCCTCCCCTGACTTGTGGCCTCTGGGCTCCATTGTCCTCTGTTTCCATTGCCATCCCTCTCTGCTCATTGCAGAGCCTGCTTTCTCCTGTGGCATTTGGCTTCGGCACTGAGTACCTGGTCCGCTTTGAAGAGCAAGGCCTGGGGCTGCAGTGGGACAACATTGGGAAGAGTCCCATGGAAGGGGATGAGTTCAGTTTCCTGCTGTCCATGAAGATGTTGCTGCTTGATGCTGCTCTGTATGGCTTGCTTGCCTGGTATCTTGACCAGGTTTTTCCAGGTAAGCAAGGAAAAGCCAGGCTACTTTATCTCCATGGTCAAGGAAATTAGATTCTTCAGATGCAGACTGAAGGTGTGGCCCAGACTTCCAGTTTAAACTTGATTCCCCCCCCCACCTCCCCCCAAGCTATTTGAACATAAGCTCTCAGGGCCAGCACCTGAATTTACATCTAGAAGTTAAAACTCCACCGGCAAATTATTGTCTCCACTTTAGAAACAGGTCTAGAATTGGGGCTGGGGTGATGGCTCACTAGGTAAAAGTACTTGCCTTGCAAGCATGAAGCCCTAATTTCAGAACCCACATAAAAGCCCAGCATGTCTGCAAGCCCTGCAAGCTGTAACGCTGGTGTGGGGAAGTGGAGACAAATGGATCCCAGGAACTCTTTAGCCAGCCAACCCAGCCAGAACATCAAGCTTCCAGATCAGTAAATGACCTTGCCTCCATGGACTCAGGTGGGGAGCAATAGAGGGAGACACGTCCTCTAGCCTTTGCAGGTATGCTCATGAGTGTACATACCTACATGCATGTGTGCATGTATGTATACCATATTCTTCTGTGCCCCTCACACACATGCACACACACATTCATCTGAAACAAAGGCAGAGACAGGGAGAGAGGAGACTGAGAAACAGGTCTAGAATCGGCTTCCTTATCACCACAGATGTGCCTTCCCATTCCAAGCCTCCTTCGGCCATCACCGCCTGCCACTGGGTCCTCTTCACTGTATGCAATGGAGCCTTTTGCAATCTAGGCCGGGTGGTGTCAACACTCTGTTCAAATTCCTTCACGGTCCCTTCCCCTCGTTCAGAGTAAAACCCACTGTCCCAACTCAGGCCTACCAATGCTTCATCATCTGCCTTCCTGCTACCCTCTTCATCTTCTGCCCTTCCCTTGTCCCCCACGTCTGTCTCTCTGCTCCAGCCAACGCAGTCTCCCCGACTGATGTTCAACACAGTGAGCACATTTCCTGGGCCAGACCTTCACACCTGCGGTTTTCACTGGCAGTGTCTTTCTTATCTTCTGCCCTTCCCTTGTCCTCCACGTCTGTCTCTCTGCTCCAGCCAACGCAGTCTTCCCGACTGATGTTCAACACACTGAGCACACTTCCTGGGCCAGACCTTCACACCTGCGGTTTTCACTGGCAGTGTCTTTCTCCTAGGCTATTCCCCCTATCTGCTAATTTGCTTCCTCATTTTGCTCAGGCCTCTGTTCAAATGTCACCTTATCACAGGGATCTTTCTAGACTGAAGATTACTAGATCTTTATCATTATATGACCAATATTCCCTCGGTGGCCCTACCCTTTACCCCACTTTTTAATTTTTTTTTTTTTTTTAGCCCTCATCTTCCCCAGACATGA